TCTATAGGTAGCGCATGAGCTTACAGCTAGTGTGAATCACGACACTCAAGGACAAACAGATAAGACATGCCAGCTGACAGGTATAGTGCGTGGACCCGCCAGAAGACCACACTTTTCTCGGGCCATTGTCTCCGTAACCATTCAACTTTGGACATAGGTGTTTTGGGTTATATCGGCATACTTTAACATAAGGAACACCCTCCCGAAGTTTGGACTATTGAAGTTTTTACTACTTGAAAACTTAACACAAAAACCAAGGACTGACTCGATGATGTAAAGCATCAATCAAAGAATTTTATTCTTGTTTTATACTATAACTTTTGTTTTTTATATATCTAATTTATTATATTTTTATGTCAAGTATTTTAATATATTAATATTATTGTATACAATTTTATTAATGCAGCAGTTCAGTTATGTTAGCCATGTATTTGCCTGATCATGGCTATTAATAGCCGAAACATGTAGCAGAACCTAAACTAGGCACTGACATTGATAGAGTTGTGTTGTGACAGTTTTAATAAAGAAGTTGTATATTATAACACAACAGGATGCATGAAATGAAACTCATATATATAGTTTTATTCCCATTTTTAGCCTACTTTTATTTTAAGAGGAGGATCAGACTTATCGTCTCTCATGTTTATATACTTGTCTGCACATGTGTACACATACCTGCGCTCCACATTTTACTGATACTCCTGTTTTAATGTTTTTTTTTTTTTACTCAGTAATTAGTATCATACCTCTAACATTTAAACACCTGTTAATCTTCTCATAACATTTCAGATCTGCTTGATGTAGTGAAAGACCAGCTTTATGGAACTGACTATGTCCGTGAAGAGGATCCAAAAATATACATCTCTCAAAAAACAGGCCGTGGGCCATTATCTGATACATGGTTGGATGATTACTGGAGTGAATGCAAGGCACGTACCAAGTTGCAGCTGCGTACTCTGTGCCCTTTAGTGTTGCTACTGAATAGTGAAATTGATCACAAAGAGTACTTTCACTTCCCCACCCCTCCTCATGGTGTCATGCTGAATTCAGCACAAGGACAATTTTACAATATTCTTAACATTAAAATAAGACAAAACTCAAGTTTCTTATTTTTGTATTTTGATTTGTACTAAGTATAAGAAACAGAAAAGAACTGATATTTTTTAATGATCAATATTTTACCATATTAAATGATTTTCCAAGCCTGGTGTAGCTTCAAAGCCTATGACATTTGTAACTCATTTTTACCAGTTCTTTGTGGCACAAAAATTTGGGTTTATAAATAATTGTTAACATCAGATGAAGTTTGACTGGGAAACTGTGAAAGATATCAGAATAGCCAGCGTTCCAACCAAGATTTGAATTGATCATCTCCAAAATAGAAGTTAGAAGCATTATCACTTGAGCCAACTTACACAGTCCAATTTCTATCAATTTATAATTGTATTGTACTGAGGTTTATTATAATCCATAACTTTAACTCATTCACATATGCCAACAAACTCGTTTTTGTATGTAGCTTTTACACTTCATAACCTCATTTAAATTAACGAATTCAGTAGGTACAGTAAACTCCCCATTATTTGGCAAATGTGGGGAATGGGGTTTCCCAGTTACATGGATCTGTTGGCTGTATAAGGAAAGCTCTTACAGAAACACAATACAATGTCAAAACATGTTTTCACTCTCATTCTCAGAAGGGAGTCTATGTGGGGGATATGTAAGTTTGAAGAATGAAAGATTTTAGATATGATTCAACTAGTCTCTGCTATAATGGCAGTGGCATGAAAAAGAATTATGTGTTAGCACTGCTAGTGAGAGCTCGGAGAACTGCAGTATATTAGGTGAACATATTTATCACAGATATCACTGATATTCCATGTTACATGTAACACTCCTCTAAAAATGTTGTTTAAAAGTTAATACATATACACAATGAGTCTTTTAAGCCTATACAAAATCACATTGTATACTACATGTTTTCACCATCATTGGCCATCATCAGGTATTTTAAAACTGTTTGTGGAGACTGCTGTACTTGCATTTTGTGCTTCTGATGTTTGATGTTTAGTCCCATCACACATTCATGTTTTTCCTTGTGCTGGGTTGGACTACACATCGAACATTAGAAGCACAAGACACAAGCACAGCAGTCTCCACAAACAGTTTTAAACACCTGATGATGGCCAATGACAGTCGAAACTTGTAGAGTACAGTGGTATTTTCAGTGGGTTTAAAGGACTCATTATATATATGTAGTAACTTTTAAACGAAGTTTTTGAAGGAGTGTTGCATGTAAGATGGAATATCAGTGATATTTGTTAATTAATAAACAATGTGCAACTGGATACTACAATAAAACCTTATATTTAACACAAATTTGTTTTTGGTAACTTCATACAAACTGTAAACTTTCTTGGAAATCTTTACCAGTTGTATTAGAAGTCTAGATGTCTGGATACTGGATAACTGAGAGTTTACTGTACTAAAAATGTTTACTTTCTTGTATATGTGTTGTACATGAGAAAATATTATGGCTGTGAAAGAATCATTATTGAGATTTTGATGAATTTACACATTTTTCAGCCCCCCTTGTTATGAAAAAGTGCCTAAATAAAACAGAATAGGTGATATCATCAGGAAAATAATGGTACATAATATTAAATTGCAGTATTCTGTTGCACTGTGCAGATTTTTTTTTTTTTTCTGTCTATGTGTGGTGTTGGGTAATATTCTCTTGTTGTTTTCTCTTTATTATCATTACATGTTTCAGCCTAACTGACTGTCATCAGGTGTACAGGTTGTAAGAAAACAATGAGAGAACATTAACTGATGTTGCACATAGATGGCAAAAAAGCAGAATGCAAAGCCAGAATGGTATATGAACTAGAGGCCCAAACCAAATATTTCAGCTTTGTTGAAACCAGTTTTATTAGTCAGATGTTGCTTGGCAGTAAACAATAAACAGTGATCTATCATACAATAGTTTATTTCATTTCCAATGTAATGCCATGGAGGTCAGTTATATGTGAGAAATATTTCATTTCCAATGTAATGTCATGGAGGTCAGTTATATGTGAGAAAGTATGTTCAGTATCTTTGCAGCATTTTTTTTTAATTGTAATTGAGCTGTGCCGTGGTAACAAATGGGGATGGAAATGTTATTTATGTCCTACTGTGTGGAGTATCTGCTGTCTAGCTTGCATTATGAAATGTATTATTAATTATTAGGGACAACAAATGCCACTTCCAAATGGAAAATCCATCATGTGTGCATACAAGTTATGCAGAGTTGAGTTCCGATACTGGGGGATGCAGACAAAGTTGGAAAAATTTATACATGATGTGGGTGAGTTTCTTTCGCATTGACTCTCATTTCAATATTTGTGGAGGTAAGGTCTGAAGTTGCTATTGCTGTTGATGATTCTGGTGAAATTGGTAAGAAAATGGAATATTCCTAAGGTTTTGTCATGTGGAATTCCATGTATATTTAACTTTGTTGTGTAAAGCAAATAGCTAGTATTGAGAAGGGACAAGGGAAAGTCATACATATGTCTTGTGTTTTTGACAAAGGAATGGCTTTTAAGATTTTTAAAAAGTTGAATAAGTTTATCCTTATGTTAACCTCTGTTGTTCATTCATTTATTACTTTATATGACCCATCTTCACAAAACACTTACCTGTGCACGAACTATACCACCAGTAGACTTTTACTGCAGTGAAGCAGAAATCTGAAACTACACATATATTTGAAGAAAGCAGTCTTCTGGGATTTGGCACCGTGTATATGTGGTGTTAACCGACGTTTCGGAGGAACGTATCGCCCCCATCTTCAGGGTAGTAGAAAAAGTATAAGAAATCTGCAAGCGACAACACCGTGAGAAACGGTAAAGCACATATACACCACATATAC